ATTTGCAGTACAGGCTGTGAATCATCGAGGCTGCAAGATGAAGGAGAAAACTTGACAATGCTTCATTTCCATTTTTACACATGTAAGAAACCAGCATGTAATACTTACTCAAGGGACTTTTACACTGTGAGTTATATTCAGTTCCCTCCTCAGCCCCTCTGACCTCCCTCTGACCTCCAGTCATGCAGGCATGAGCCCAGAGGACTGCTCAGGTATATATGTATTTTTAATGTAATTAACTGTCTGTAATGCTCTGCTGTAAATCACATCCTAGAATGGACCTGGTTGGAAAATTGCCCTTTTGTGAACAGTTATTATGAACTTTGCTGACTGAAACAGAGTGGCAAACTGAAATATAGAGTGTGATACAAGCAGGTAGGGGTGACAGCAATAAAAATGAAGAATTCGCCTGAAGACATTATAGGCAAGATGCTTTCCACCACTCCGTTCTCTCTGGGATATGAAGAGTTTGCAGAAGGAGAATGTTTGGTAAGGCAGCGGAGGTTGCATTCCACAAGCAGCAGAGAGTAATTGCTTGCTCCTAGTCCCAGTAATCCAATTATCAGGAAACAGCAGAGCCCTAAATGCAGGATTTCTCTCCTGACACTTGGACTGTGGAAGGCAGTTTATCCATCTCCTCTGAGGAGATACACAAGAGGTCACTACAAAGGCAAGTCATATCATGGTGGAGTAACAAATATGACACACTTGGTGAAGAGCCATGCTCTCCAGGAGATGATCCCCATCACCCTTGGGAGCTGGAGGTGCCTGGTGTGCAGGATGCTTCATGAGCTGCCTGCACTAGTGCAGCCAGCATGCTTCTGCCCACTAGGGTGATGGCTGTACCAGCCTTGTCCAGCTTCAGCATCTGCAGGTGGCTGCAGTGGTGTCCTCTGGCTTTCATCACCAGAGCATCTCCCATGGGACCTCAGAGAGGCTCAGAAACTCCCTGTTGCACTAGATTTTCAAAAGAGGTCCATTTAGGTATGTAGAATAAATGTTCAGTGTCTTTCAAAAGACCTTGGTACACTGGGTGTTTGGGCTCTTTGGAAATCTGCCCGTGGCTGTCACTGTGGCAGCTGCAGCTCTCCAAGTGCCTTTGAAAAATGAACCTTCACATACTTTCCTCAATGCAGATTGCATTTGTTCAAAACTCTGTCTCCATTTCTGGGATGTGAACTCATGAGCAATGTAGGATCCTAAATTTCATTACCTCTCAAATAGGTCTTACTGCTTTTGAAAATGTTACCCATCGAGCTCTTTTTGGGCTCGTTGGAAATCTGCCCGTGGCTGTCACTGTGGCAGCTGCAGCTCTCCAAGTGCCTTTGAAAAATGAACCTTCACATACTTTCCTCAATGCAGATTGCATTTGTTCAAAACTCTGTCTCCATTTCTGGGATGTGAACTCATGAGCAATGTAGGATCCTAAATTTCATTACCTCTCAAATAGGTACTGCTTTTGAAAATGTTACCCATTGAGCTCTTTTACAAATCTCCCCCATTGTGCACAATTAAGGAGTAAGAAGATTGTCTCTTTGCAGCTGTCATTTAAAGGCTGGATAAAGGTTGAGAGCTGAAATAAAGCATCTGTTGAAAGTATCTGTGGAATCTCTCATTGTCCAACATAAAACCATTATAATGCAAGACCAGGCTTGGGAGACTTGCATTACTCTATTCATAACTCTGCCAACAGCCCATTAAGGAAATTTGTGCCAGTCACTTCTTTTTTTGTGTGTGTGGATGAAGGCTGCTCCACTGGTGAAATATGGGTATGGATGCTTACCTTCCTTCGGGGAGAAGCTTGGGAGCTTAAAATGAACACTACAGCAGAGGTGGCTATGCTCATACAAATGCCCAGACATTTTGCCTGCTCAGGGAAGATAAATTCTAGAGTGATGTGATGAGAAATGTACACCATTTATAACAAAAAAACCTCTCATATGCAGTTTATGACAAGACAAAAACATCTCTGGGCAACATCCTCAACATGTCTAAGTTACTTCTGGGAACATTTGTAGGCTAGGCAATTGTGATTAAACCTGTCATTCATGTTGGTAGTAGTCATGTGCCCTGAAACAGTCTGTTACATATGACATAAATAATGAATGTTTTTATAATCTTCATTTTATAATATAAGTTTCAAGCTTCACAGAATCTAGGTTTTGGGGTTTTTTTTCCTTCTCTGCATTTGTCTTTCCAGTTCCTCATTCTCTGTGGCCAAAATATGTTGTCCCAAACCCTGAAGCCTGAGTTTGTCAAAACCAAAAATAAAAAAAAACTGTAACTGTAGACCTGAGGTGCTTCCTAGAATGAAATACCAGCCTTGAAAAGGTGAAGGTGAAGTGGATCCTCCCAGAGGACATGAGAGCCCCTTACATCACCAATGGAGGCACCTGGGACATCGTGATCTGCTGACACTCACCTCAAACCATCATCTGCTGGAAGATAAGGAGTGGCATTACTACCCTTTCCTTGCTTTGCTCACCCCAAATAGTTTCCTGTGCAATGGTATGAGAGATATTAGTGTAGTTTAGTGGTTGTGAATGATGACTTAGTGGTTCTATTAGAGGGTTTTTGGCAAACCAACCATTTTGTTGTCCATGTGGAAGAATAGAGGCTCATGAGGAGAGCTAAAGCTGTTATGCCTCTGAGTGGTGAGTTTACAAATCCCATAGTCACTAAGTTCTTCGAATGTGAAGGTACCACATAAGGTCTCTGGTCCCACTTCCTGCTCAGAGTAGGTCACTAACAGCCACCATCCAGGCTGCTGGGCATGGGAGTCCATCAGGATTACAGAGTAGCTGCTCCTACTTCTTCTCACTTCCAGCAATGTTCCTTCTGCTTTATCCCAAAGCTCAGAAAGCGAAGAGGGGGGAGCATGTATCGCTTTGCCATACAGCTCTTCTGCCATACTCCCAGACTTCCTGGGGGAAGTTCTGGGAAAGGTGTACTACCATGTGATGGGGCTGGGCTGCTTCAGTAGCTCTACTGTGCCTTCAGTGCCTCCTGCTGTGCCAAACATGACTGCCTTCACCTGACCTCTACCCAACCTGGCAGCCTTGCAGGGTGCTGGCCCTGACCCACTGAAGGGCTTTCGCCTGCGCACCCTGACCAGGCAGCGCGGTAGCTCTGCGTCTTCTGCTTTTAACGGTGGTAACCTTGGGTCTATTTTTAAAAGCAGGCTTTCGTCTGAAAGGAATATCAGAAAATTTGGCTTCTCCTGTGTTCCCACGAGCTCTCAGCACAGCACTCTCTTGGGTGTTTGGCTTGAAAAAAATACACAAGTAGCCCTACTGAAAGTTAAGGGTACACATAAGTCTTTTGTTGACTTAGAAAGAAAAGCGGCAAAGCAGCTGAAAACACTGACCTAGGTCACAAGAATGAGGCAAAAAAAAACAGCTACTGAAGTCTCCAGCTCAATACCATCCTGGGACACAGTTTCCAAGCACCTGGAGATTTTCCAGACCGTGTCCTGAAATGCTTCTTTTGTCTAGAAACTAGTGATCACACTTTAATGCCTGATTTGAATTGCCTCCCTCCTCACTTCCAAGTAATTCTAGTGGTTGGTAAAACATTCCTCTGCCTGCAAAAATGAGCAATTGCAAGGAGAAATGTAAATTACAGCTTCATTTAATTCTGCAGGCTGGTTTCCAAATTGACTATATTTGACCACAGTCCAGAAAGTTCTTGTATATAACTGTAAGTAGCCTGTTATAAAGCAGTAAGACATCAGTAGTAGTTATATCTTAATTAAGCTCTAAGAATGAGCGTTTTCAGACTGTTATAAGCCAAGCTTCTCTCTGCTGTGTTTAAACATGCATTGCCTGTAGATGCTGGTATGATGGGTACCTCATAAATAGAAATGACCGCATTGCACAGTAATCTCCTTATTGTTACCTCCAAATGAAAACACTAACAACAGATGTGCAGAGTTCAGGCTTCCCTGGTTAACTGCAAGTGCATTATGCTAATACTCATTTGCCTACCTTAACTGTAATGTTGATTTTATCTTAATTGCCTTTATTCAGTTCATTTGCCCTGGGGGGGTGAATTTGGCTTCGTAACACTATTCTCTTTCGTCGGAGCAATTGAATACCAGAGTGCAAACAAAACAGGTGTGTTCTTATTTAAGAAGATGTGATTGCTTTTTGGATCACGTCATTTGCAGTATGAAATAAACTAATTTAGGGGGTTGGTTTGTTTGTTTTACGGTTTCAGGTTTTGGTTGGTTTTTTTGGGGGGGGGGGGGGGGGGGGCGGGTCACAC